TGTAAAAATTTTTGCACGTTTTGCATCTTGAGCGCCTTTACGGTGCATAATGTTTTTAAATTGGGAATGGCCCGCCATAGTCAAATCCTTCTTTATTTAATCCTTTTACTTTAATATGGGCTTAGCATAAGGGGAAGAGCTATAAAAAAGAACTGGAACTTTTTTGTTTCTTTTAAAGTTAATCGCATAAGGTGCCCATAACTTTTTAATTTTTAACCCGAATTTTTTGGACTGTCGGATAAAATTATGTGCTTGGCCTTGACGCACAACAATGCATGCGTGCGGAAAAGTTCGGAGCCTATCAAAATCAGGAAAGAGCATAGAGTGCTGTCCTAATTGTTGTGCATACCAAAGATCTTGGCTCACTGAATCTAAGATGGGAACAGGCTTTTTCAAGTAAAAAGGAAGGGAAGAAAGATTTTCAAAATCCCGATACAAAAAGATAGGGTAGTCGCTGCACTTTAGTTGAACTTGTTGGGCCGTAGAGCGCATACTTTCAAATTCATCAGGATAGAAATCTTTGTTTATAGACTGTGTCCACCAAACGGAACCATGAAGAACAACAGGAATGAAAACAGCAAGAAATAAAGCGGTTCCATAGAAGGTACAGCGACGAAATCTGCCAAAGTTGTTCCATTTTTCTGAAAGGCAAAGAGAAAGCCACAAAATAAGAGGGGGAAGCCCTATAACCATATAATAATTTGCTTTGGCCTTCGAGAGAGAGAAAAAAAGTAGTGTCCCTCCAAGCCAAGCCCACAAAAAATTTGCGGGTTGATCGCGCTTAATTTTCTGCCACAGAAGAGGAAGCCAAAAAGTCCATGGAAAAATATAAAGAGGCATGCGCACGAGATAATAATACCAAGAACCAGAATAGTAGTCTTTTGGTTCTCTTAAGCCAAGAAAACGCAAAACATGCTCGTTAATAAAATACCACCACGCAAAGCCTTCATGTTGGTAAGATGCAGCAATGTGCCAAGGAGCAGTGAAGAGGAAAAGAAGACAGATTCCCCGAAAGCTAAAGCATTGGCGCACCTTCGCCCAACCTGGCTTTTCAAGTGCAAAAAAGAGCGCACCAACAACACTAACACAAGCCAAGGCAACAAACCCTTTGGTTAAAATGGCGAACCCTAATGCTGTATACGCCCCCCAAAGGAAATGACGTTTTTCAGAATCATACCAACGATAAGCCAGAGTGAGTGTGAGCGTCAGGAAAAAGGCGAAAAGAACATCAAAGTAGACCATGCGTGAAAAAGCGATAAATCCTAGCGAAGTTCCCAACATTAAAAACGACTGATTCGCAGTTTTTCGATCAAAATAAGTTTTTGAAAAGTTCCATAAGATCCATAGCAAACCAAAGCCTGAAACAGTCGTTACCAGGCGTGCAGAAAATTCAGAAACGCCAAATATGGAGAAGCTGGTTGCAATGAGCCAATAAAGAAGGGGCGGTTTTTCAATATAAGGGACGCCATTGAGGTGGGGGATAACCCAGTTGCCAGAAATTAACATTTCCCGTGCAACTTCTGCATAAAGCCCTTCATTGTTATTCAGTAAACCGTAAGATCCAAGGCCATAAAAGAGGTTGATAATGATAACGATAAGGGAGAATAAAAATGACGTTTTCATATTAAAAACAACAATTCATATCGACAGGATGAAAAAATTATGACAGCTTTACCCCCAAATTTATAAAAACTTAGAAGAAAGATTGCACTATGTTCTTTAAGAAAACGTTGTTTCTTTTTTGTGTTGGTTTCGTAGGGATGTCTTCTTCAAGTGTTATAGCGGAAAATAAACCTCTTCTTATTGCCATTTCAGGAGGGAGCGGTAGCGGAAAATCTACTTTAATGAAAGAAATTTTGAATCTCTTTGCTGAAAAAGTGACAACACTTTCTCAAGATTGTTACTATAAGGATCTTTCTCATTTACCTGTTGCAGAACGGGAAAAAGTTAACTTTGATGCCCCAGAGTCTCTAGATTTTGATCTTTTAACAGAACATGTTCGTCAACTTTCTGATGGTAAAAGTATTCAACGGCCTAACTATGACTTTAAAACGCATACGCGCACTGGTCAGCAAGATACCGTAAATCCAAATAAGATTATTATTGTTGAAGGAATTTTGTTGTTTGCTATTCCTGAATTGCGAGAACTTTTTGATATTCGCCTCTTTATGGATGTTTCTAGTGAAGAACGTCTTATTCGGCGCATCAATCGGGACATGGCGGAAAGAGGACGCAGCTTGCACTCTGTTTAAAATCAATATGTTACAACAGTCGCGCCTATGTATTTAAAGTACGTGGTTCCTACAAAGAAACATGCTCACCTTATTATTCCTGAAGGGGGTAAAAACAAAGTTGCTCTTGATTTCCTTCTTACAAAACTCGCTATTTATTTGGAAACGACTTAAGAGTGCATTTTAGAATCGACAAGGGCGATTAGGTCTGTTAAGTA